GGCTCACCGCAACCTCCGCCTCCTGGGTTCAGGCAATTCTCCTGCCTCAGCCTCCTGAGTAGCTGGGACTACAGGCACGCGCCACCATGCCCCAGCTAATTTTTTGTAGTTTTTAGTAGAGACGGGGTTTCACCATGTTGACCAGGATGGTCTCGATCTCTTGACCTCGTGATCCACCCGCCTCGGCCTCCCAAAGTGCTGGGATTACAGGCTTGAGCCACCGCGCCCGGCCCTAAGCTTATTATTTTTAAGTATGAAAAGATATTAAAGGGAGATACATTGTTTGGATTTTTAAGTCCAAGAACTCCTTAATTATTCTAGTGTACAGAGAGAGGTCATGTTAATCTTGTCCATAAAAAGATGTACTTCTTAGCAAGTGCCTTTTTGTAGAAAATGATAACCATTTTACCATATAGTAATAAAATGTTATTATTACTATTATTGGATAAATAACATGAACCATAGAAAATTATGTACTTTGCCAAGTTCCCAACTAATATATTATTGTCACTTTTTTTAATTCTATATGCATTTTATGTCTCACCAGAAAATATATTTTATGCAATCTATATTAATTAATGTATTAATATTGGTACATTATTGTCTTAGTCCATTTTGTGTTGCTATAAAGACATGCATAAGCCTCTGTCATTTATACAGACAAAAATATCTATTTTGCTCATGATTTGGCTGGTTGGAAAGTTTATGATTGGGTGTCTGGGTCAGGTGAGGGCTGCAGGCTACTTCCACTCATGGCTGAAGGTAAAGGAGAGCTGGTGTGTGCAGAGATTGCATGGCCATAGAGGACACCAGGGGAGGAGGAGGTTCCAGGCACTTTTTACAACCAGTAACAAATAGAGCCAGAACTCATTTAAGCCCAAGGGAAGGCATTAATCTCTTCATGAGGGATCTAACCCCTTGACCTAAGACCTCTCATTAGGCCCCAACTCCAATATTGGGATCAAACATGAGGTTTGGAATGGATAAATATCTAAATCATAGTAATTATTATTAACTGAAGTCTGTCATGTATTCAGGTTTAGTTTTTATCTAGTGTCCTTTTCCTGTTTCAAGATTCCATTTGGGCTAACATATTACATTTAATGTCTTATTTTCTTAGGCTCCTTTGGCTGATGTTTTCTCGTAATTAGACTAGTGTTATGGGTATTTGGGAGGAAGACCATAGATGTAAAGTGTCATTTTCATCACATCATATCAAGGGTAACACATCATTAATGTGACTTATCACTTTTGATGTGGATCGTGATTATTTGATTGAGATAGTGGCTGTCCGGTTTCTTCAGTGTAAGGTTACTCTTTCTTTCCCCTTTCATACCATACTCTTTGGAGAGAAGTCACTATGCATAGCCTACACTTAAGGAGTGGGAAGTTTTGCTCCTCTTCAAGGGCAGAATAGCAGCATAAATTATTTGGAAGTCTATAATCTTTTTGTATGTGTTAAAATAGTCTATGCTTGATGACTTTATTATTTGGTTCCCATGCATATTTGTATATATTGTGCATTTGTTCTATCTCTTTGTTATCCCTTTGTTCTTATCTCTTCTGCTGTGTAGCTTATTTCTACTGAATCCCAAACATTTATTTGAAAAAATGTAAGAGTAAAGTGAAGTCTAAGATGATCCTCCTCCAAAGAGGATTTATTTTTATTTACAGCAAGAGACTAGGATACTAGCAATCCTGAATTACCTTAACCCAAATTCAAAGGTCGAGATGACTTGAAGAACTTCTGTCTCCATGAATACTTTTCCATATATGGCATGTAACTCTTTTGGAGTACTCTAACCAAAGCATGGGGAGTTTCCAAGACTCCCCCCTCTTTCGGGGATTCAGGACTGCAATTTATGTTTTTGTGTAGCTCAAGACCATCTAAATCTCTTCTCAACATCTTGACAATTTATTTTGGGATTGTCAGGTGCCTGATGGCTTCTATAAAATGAGATGGTTTGGTCAAAGATCTATAAAATGCTTGATTACGACATACTGAGTTATGCTAAGACATGGTTCCTGCCTACTTCTATTTTAGTTGTGATACTAAAGGTATCACAGGAAGCATTAAGAACAAATTTGATAACAAAGTGCTAAATTGCATCGTATAGATAGAGAATAGGAAAGTCTATCTGAAGTTGCTTGTCATGCAATAGAAAGAATAATCATAAAACAGATATATAAAGGACAAGTTGGTGAGGGTTGCTAAGTCAATTCCATGAAATTGGATTAACTGTTTTTCTTTCCATTTTTGCACTTCCAGCAGATATACTTTATGGTCAAGTCGATGTGTAAGCCAATATATCTCAATATTAATAAAATAACCTCTTTAATATATTAATTCTGTGTTTTTGCTTGGGATTGGAGAGATACCTCCATTTTTAGATATCTTTCCTAATATACCTTCAAAGGTAGACCCAATTCCTAGTTTCTCACCTTCCCTAGACTGACCTACCAGGAGCCTTTTGTGGTCAGGATTCTAACCTTAACTTTGTATCATTTTGAGCTTCAGATTCTTTATTGGTAAAAATGAAGTCAATAACAAATCCCCTCCTAGGTTGGTTTTGAGAATCAAATGAATAGTGGTAGTGACGATGCAAGCTCCTTGAAGGCTGAAAATCATATGTGAACTGTAACATCATTAGGCATTATTTTGGCTTGTTATCAGATTGTAAACCTTGGAGATTATTATAAGATTAGAAAGCTCTGGGTGTGAGAAAACAATGATGAATATGCTGTTACAAGCTGATCATGACCCTCAGAAATTTAAACTGTGATTTTTTTGTTTATTCAATTGCACATTTATTCATCATTTATTTATTTAACAAATAATTGCTAAATATCTTCAATGGACCTGCCACTGTTCTGGGTGCTGAGGACTGGGGAGAAAATATGCACACAATCTCTGTCTTTAAGAAGCCCACAGTCTAGAAGGGTAATAAAAATTAATCAAAGAATCAAGCTAATACATGGAAAGATACAACTGTGATAGATACTTTGAAGGAGAGGTCTATGTTAATTTAAGAGTGTATAATGAGGGAACGGAGGGTTTGACCTCATCAGAGAAGTCAAGGAAAACATCCCCAAGGAAGTTATGGCTGCAGTGTGACTTTAAGTATAAGAGTTAACAAGACACATGGAGGAAGTTGGAGTATTCTAGGCAAAGGGACTAAAATCTGCAAAAGTCTTGAAGTAGGAAGAATGACATATTCAAAGACCTCAAAAGAGTCCAGAAAGGGAGGGAAGCAGAGGACAAAGAGGAAGTAGGACTGATGTGGTTTGGATCTGTGTTCCCACCCAAATCTCATGTTCAACTATAATCCCCCTTGTTGGAGGTCAGGTCTGGTGGGAGGTGATTGGATCATGGAAGCCTTTCTCATGGTTTAATATCATCCCCCTCGGAGCTGTTGTTGCAATAGTGATTTCTCATGAGACCTAGTTGTTTAAAAGTGTGCGGCATCTCCCCCTTGTCTCTCTTCCTTCTGCTTTGGCCATGTAAAGTGCTGGCTCCCCCTTCACCTTCTGTCGTGACTGCAGATTCCTTGAGGCCTCCCAGAAGCAAATGCTGCCGTGCTTCCTGTGAAGCCTGCAGAACCATGGGCCAATTAAACCTCCTTTCTTTATAAATTACCCAGTATCAGGTATTTCTTTATAGCAATGTAAGAATGGACAAATATGGGGGTACAAGATGGCATTGAGAAACGTGTCACTACAGGGCTTTTTGGGCTATGGTAAGAATTCTGGTCTTTATCCTAAGGACAGTGAGCATTCTTGAAGTGTACAGGGCAATGATATTATGAGTAAGGATGCTACATCACAGAGATCAGCTGATGTTTGGGGAGAGAGTTGGTCTTCATCAGGCTTCGTATTAGTCAGCTGAGTCCTCCATTTTTCTATCATTATGTTCATAGGGAAGAGTAATTTAATGTGAACTCTTCAATCCAAACTGGGGTTTATGTTTGTTTAGAAGTGCATTATTGAAAAAGCACTGAATAGAATTCCAGGTAACATTAAAAAATTATCAGGCTATGTCTGTTTGCTCAATAAATGGTGGCTATTTTGCAGAAGCCATTAAGATACAAATAAGGGAAATCTGACATTGAGTTACATCTGATAAACATTTATTTAAGGGAAAAATATTGGGAATATCCAAACAATAGAATATCTCATTTCATTATGTTTAAAATCTCATAGAATAAAATAATTACTATAGAACTTTTATGGAATGTGATTTTTTTAATTAAAATTTTAAATATTTGTTGTGTGTTAACTTAGGAGAAACTGGATATAGGAGGTATCCTTTTAACTTCGGAGAAACTTGAGGTAATATATAGTCTACACTACCTCCATATCACCTCAAGTAACACGCAACAAATCACCAAATGATAATTTAACATTGACAAGGTACCATCATTGACAAGCTACAATAATCACTAAAATCAAGCCTTTATTGATCTCCTTCTCCTTCTTCATCATCATTGTCATCATCATCATCATCGTCATCGTGGTCTCCCCTTTTCAGGCCCTCTGATTTCTGTGTCATTCCTCAAACTCCCACATCATGTTCTTTCCTAAGCCTGTCTAGTATTTCCCCTTCTGGGCTTGTGGAAGATACGTTAGGAAGAACATGAACTTTGGAGTCAGTTATACATTGGTTTGGCTCTCAGCAACACCTGTCAACATTGTGATCTAGAGCAAATCATTTAGCCTTTTTGCCGTCCATCTTCCTTTTAGTGTAAATTCGAGGTAATGCTATTTCACAGAGGTATTGTGAGAATTAACTTAGTTTATTAGGTAGAGTACTTATTCTAGTTTCTGTGGGATTATGTTTTTCAAAGATGTTGGTTGCAGTAGCTCTCATCCCATATGTTCTTTTACAACATGACCAGCTACCCCGATATCCAAAGGTAGGGTTTATTTCTTCTCCCTGACTTGTGACTGCTTTGACCACAGAGTATGATGGAAATGATGACTGTGACTTCCAAGACTGGGTCATAAAAGACATTGAAGCTTCTGCTTTGTTTACTGAGACACTTCCTGCATGTAGAAAGTCGGATCACCCTGAAGGAACTCAGGCACACAGAGAAGCTACCGGAAGGCTCAGTCAGCAGCTTCAGTTGAGGTCTACCAGCCAGCATTAGCCGCCAGTTGTGTGAAGGCAGAAACCTATACATGATTTTAGTTCCCAGCAATCAAGTCTTTCCAGCTGTGGCTCCAAACATGGGAGCTCAGAAAAACGATTCCCATTGTGCTGTCTGAATTTCTGACCCATGAAATCTGTGCATATGTTTAAATAGTTATTTAAAGCTGGTTGTGGGGTAAGTATCAGTAGCAACTGGAACAGTTTTCAATAAATTCTAGTAATTGTTGCCATGATCATGAGTATTATTATTACCTACTTTACAGGGTGATTTTTATGTAATACATTACCACAAAAGTAAACCAACCAATACTACTGATTATGAATACATGTAAAGCCTAGAAGATGTTGTAGACCATTTCTTTTTTGTTTGTTTGTTTTTGAGACAGTCTCACTCTGTGCAGTGGCATGATCTCAACTAACTGAAACCTCTACCTCCTGGGTTCAAGCAATTCTTCTGCCTTAGCCTCCTGAGTAGCTGAGACTACAGGTGCCTGCCACCACGCCCAGCTATTTATTTATTTATTTATTGAGATGGAGTCTCGCTTTGTCACCAACCAGGCTGGAGTGCAGTGGCACTATCTCCACTCACTACAACCTCCACCTCCCAGATTCAAGCGATTCTTCTGCCTCAGCCTCCTGAGTAGCTGGGCCTACAGGTGCATTCCATCATGCCTGACTAATTTTTGTATTTTTAGTTGAGATGGGATTTCACCATGTTGGCCAGTTTGGTCTCTATATCTTGGCCTCATAATCTGCCTGCCTCGGCCTCCCAAAGTCCTGGGACTACAGGCATGAGCCACCATGCCCAGCCGTTGTAGACTATTTCTTAATTTTCCTACCAAGTCATTGTTTTCAATGGGCATTCAAGAGTGCCTTCTCTCTCAGGACTCCTCCTACTTCCCTATTTAATCTTCCTACCATCCTGTCGGCTCACTGTTCTTCCCTGTGAGCAACATTTGGTGAGCAGGTCCTGGGTTATTTTCCATGCTCAGTGGCTCTTCTGTTAGGAGGAAGCATGTGATTTCAGATTCTTCATTTATGTCATAAATATTTTTTCAGCTTCTCTTATGTGGCACTGGGAATATGGCAATGACTGAGACAGATATCCATCCCCTTGTGGAGCTTACATTCCATTTTGGGGAATTAAACAATATGTCAGATAAATAATCAAAGTATACACTACAGGAGACGGAAGTAAGCAGCTTGGAGAAGCACAAGGCAGAGACTTGAGAAAGGGAGAGTTGGGGGCAGTAGTACCATTTAAGAGAGAGTTACAAGGATGATGTCATTGAGAAGATGTAATTTCAGTAAAATCTTGAAAGAGGCAAGAGAGAAAGCTTTATGGATATCTGGAGAATGTGTTTGGTGGAGAAGAACCAGGAAAAGCAAAGATCTGAGGTGAGGCATGGGCATGAGTGTTCAAGGAAACACCAAGAAGGCCAATGTGGGTGGAACAAGCTGGCAGGAACTGTGGGCAGTAAGGCAAGTGGACTAAATAGTGTCCAGCCTCATAGCACAGTGAGGAATTTGATTTTGACTCTAAGACGGTAGAACAGTAGAAGATTTGGGCAAGAAATAATATTATCTGACTTTCATTTTAACAGGCTCCCTCTGGCTGCTGTGTTGAAAATAGACTGTAGGGAGATGTGGTTGGGAACAGGGAGACCCATTAGGGGGCCATTCCAACCATTCAGGCAGGTAATGAGTACTGCTTGGAGCCAAAATAATAGCAATGAAGAAGGTGAGAAACAGCCTCTGGCTTTGCTGATGAATTGGATGAGTCAAGAATGAGATTGTGGTTTTCGTTCTGAAAACTAGAAGCCTATACTGGCCATTTCTGAAAGAGGGAAGCCTATGGGGGGAGTAGGATTGGAGAGAAATCTTAGTTTGGGACATGTTGAGTTTGACATGCCTAATAGTCTCCACTATGGAAGAATTTTTCAAAGCTAAATATTTTTTGCTTCTCTTTTTTTAATTATTATTTATTTTATTGCATTTTAGGTTTTGGGGTACATGTGAAGAACATGCAAGATTGTTGCATAGGTACACACATGGCAGTGTGATTTGCTGCCTTCCTCCCCATCACCTACATCTGGCATTTCTCCCCTTGCTATCTCTCCCCAGCTTCCCACCCCCCACCCTCCCTCCCCTATTTCCCCCCAACTGACCCCAGTGTGTAGTGCTCCCCTCCCTGTGTCCATGTGTTCTCATTGTTCAACACCCGCCTGAGTGAGAGCATGTGGTGTTTGATCTTCTGCTCTTCTGTCAGTTTGCTGAGAATGATGGTTTCCAGGTTCATCCATGTCCTGTTAATATAACAAAGACTCTGCCTCTTTGTCTTAGCAAAGATCCTGATCATGCAAATGAGATTAAGTCACTCTCTCCTTAACTATCCAATGGCTTCCCATTTCACTTAGAATAAAATACAAATTCTTTGCTACATACTCCAGGACCCTTCCTATATGTATTTGTTGTCCACCCTACCTTGTAACGCCCTCCTCTTCATTTATTATGCTACTTCTATAAGGACCTTATTTCTGTTTCTTGAACATGCTAAGATCATTTGGTCTTAGGGACTTGCAGTTGCTGTTCTCTGTTTCTGTAATATTCTTATACTCTTCCCATTTTTTTTTTCTGCATCAGAGGCTCCTTGTGATTATTCAGATTGCAGCTCATGTGTTCACTCCTTAGAATGCTCTTTTGTAATCATTATAATTATCTCCATAGCACTTCTCATCCTCTGAAATTATTCATTTATTTATTTACAGATTCATTGATTGTCTCCTTCCCCTCCCACCTCCCACAAAGTATCTTATCTGACTAGTTTGCCACTGTTTACCTAATGCAGCATCTGACACATCTTAAGCATCCAGTAAATATTTATTTAATAAGTTAATGGGTGTAGGAAGGAAAGGAGTTGGTGTAGAGAGAAAGCCTATTCTCTGTTATAATGAAATCTTTAAAAATTTAATATTGTCTTTATGTTGGCTACAATTTTGCCTCTGTTGATTAATTAATGCATTTTATGTTATAGACCTTAAAAACTGCAAAGTATTTCACGTGGATTTTTGTATTAACAATACAAGATCAATAGGTCAGGCTCTCCACATTATACATATATGAAAATGAAGCTTACAAGAACCAGGTAGGTTTCTCAAGGTTACTCTGCTTTTAAATGACAGAGCCTGCCCTTGAACCTATGCCTCATAACTTTGAGCCTGGTGTTCTTTTCAAATAACATGCTAGGTCTCTATGATATCACAGGCATTGATATTGTCAGAAGGAGCAGCATTTCACTAAATGGGTCAGATAAAATTAGAAGTGGTCTCAAATTTTGCTGACTCAAGTCTTTGCCCACTTTTAGAGCTAAATCAGATTTATTAATATCTTCTGACTCTGGTATATTTAAATAACTTTCTTTAATTTACATACATATTTCTCAGGCTCCGGCTGCTGGCAGTGTAACAGGGAATGTAAGAAATCTCCCAGGAAACATGCTTCTTCTCAAATTTTTACCAAATTTTAGAACCTATGGGGGGCTTTATAATCTCTGAGAAGCCCAAACTAATGGTTGGTTCTAATTCATTCTACAACCACAGCACTTTCCACACTACTCACTGCAAGGTGAGGAGTTGTGAGCCATTTTCACCTTGGGTTATTTCTGGCAGAACTGAACAGAAGGGGACCCACCACACGCTAGCTCTTTCTGCAATCATCTGCTTCTGTGTTAACCTAACCATGGTCCAAAATAATGCATACTTGAACAGAAGTGGTGCTTGAAGGTGAGTATGGGGTGAGAAGTGGGGTCCTCCCAGAGTATCTGTACCCTAGAAGTCACAAAATTTACATTTTACATTGAAATTATTTGCTTTACTTGCTACACTTCCAGAAATATTGTTCTCAGAATTGTGAGGGATGCAGAAATGTGGAATCTAGCCTTTGTTCCAAGAAGCATACAGTTTAGTAGGCAATTTACATTTGCTCTCAAATAACTATAGTGCAAATTAGAATTTACAATAGATGCAGCCTAGAGTATATGGTTAAAGGTTTACTTTTTGGAGTCAGACATACTTGGGTTCAGATTGTGACTCTACCACTTAGTCAGAGTTTTTTGGATAAGATATTTAACCTTGCTAAAGGTTTGTTTCATTTTGCAACATGGGGCTAACAATATCTATATGTATTGTTATGCATAACTGCATTCATGATATATTTATGTAATGGATTAATACAGTTTTTAGCACATAGTAATTAAACAATAAATGCTTGCTTTTACAATTATTACATATATGTATATATGTTTTAAAATAGTATTTTTATCTGTTCTTCTGCTCTCAATAAGTGGCTACGCTTCTACTTTGAGGAAATAATATTGGTAAAATTTCAAAAGAGAGAAAGTTCAGGATTTATGGGGAAGTGGTCAGTCTTAGTTTGGCCAGAGTTTGGGATCTGTGTAGAGAAGTCTTGAAATGTAAGAGACAAATATGGGAGGGTCAATTTAGGTGAAGCTTGAAGAATTAAGTGATAAACTAAAAAATCTGCATTTAACAGATATGGAAAGGGAGTTGTTTAAAAGGGAGCTCTGGAGGCAAAGTACGTGAGTTCTCACCCAGCTACACTGTTTACTGCCACATAACCTTGGACAAATTATGTAACCTCTGCCTCAGTTTCCTCATTTATAAGATTATAAACATCATAGGGTTATTTTGAGCATTATGAGATATTACATGTTTATTACTAGCTGAAAGCTTGGTAAAGCATTAAATCAATGGTAACTATTATTATCTGAACATAACTAAATAGTTGATTTAAAAGTAGCAGAAACCATAAACAGCCCTTTCAATGCTATCAGGTAACTAAAATGGAC